ATTTAAATATTGTGTGCCCAAGTGTGTTCATTTGCCTTTACAGAGAATACATCCATGCCTAAGCCAGATACGCAGATGCCTGGTCTCCTGATGGTGAGTGTGATAATGCAGGACTTTTGTGCACACAACACTGGCATGTGTAAGCCTAGAGGTCAAGAAGAAGCCGATGAAGAAACCTTAAGCAGAGCAACTGTACTACGTATTTAAAAGACCAGATGGGATGGAAATCAGAAATTCACCCTAACTGATGCAAGCATGTGTGGATGTTATTCAGTATCTTGATCCAAACCGGTCTGGAGCAAACCAGAGGTTGCAAAAACTAACCCTAGAGTACTTCCCTCCCGAAAGTGATCTCCATGCTGCAACCTAGAAATGGGGGGGGGTGGTAGCAGGGCAGCTCTGGCCTGCTTAGTCAGAGAGCACCCCATTTTCCACTAATGCCCCCACGTAGGAGAGATTCTGCCTGTGCCAACCCTCCGATTTGAAGCACGGATCCTAGATAGGACACCCCACCTTCAACTGCAAGGAGCAACCACAGTAAAAGGCAAAGCCCTGAGCCCCTGGGGTGCAGCCCCAGAGCCAGCAGACACATTCCAGCCTGCCATAGCCACTGACCACCAGACTGTCCCATCTCCTCTAGAAGCTTGGCATGGACAACCTTCTAAAGCCCAGACCCCCAGTAACCTGGAGCTCCAGACAGCCCAACTGCTTCCACAAAGCCCACCTGCACATGCCAAGCCCTAGGGAGGCCTCTGGCAGTACCTCAGGGGCTCGACTTGGTCCCCAGCTGCCACTTGAAGCACTCGGCTCTGTAAGATCCCATACTGCTTTTTTGCAAGATGGAAGGGAACTAATCTCACTGCTGGCCAGATTCCAGCTTTGAGTAATTGCATTCTTCTGACAAATTTTCCTTGGCAGATTCAATGGAATATAATTAGTAAATGTAAATAGATGTAAATAGTGCTGTAAATTACACTTCGCGTGATTGTCAGAAGCAGAAGGGGAGAGTGAGGGTGAAGGGGCAAAAAGAGCAGAGCTTTATTCTCCAAAATGGACGACGTTGTGGCCTTCTCAGTCATCAGACTGCGTATGTCTCTGCCAGGACGGCGTGTTCAGGGCTACTGCAGCAGCAGATGCCACGATCCAGGATCACCGTGTGGCTCATCACACAGATCATCCACTTCACCTCAAGTACAATTTTGACCTGACGGTGTTCGGCCATGTCCCACAGCTGTGTTCGCAAGCAGCTGCTGTGCTCCACCTCAGCTGTGCTTCTGCTTCAGCAGCAGGCAAACTGCTTCACACACACACACGCAACTGCAAAATGTGTGTATATGACATTACTGCTTTCTATGAAATGCTTATCAAGTTTGTGAATGGTTTGCGAAACCTTCTGCTACCAACTGAAGAAGTGTCTTATAAATGGAATTATATAATTACCCTTCACAGCTATTTTAATGCAGCTTCATGTACTAGTTTCGCCTAAAGTGGAAATAGCCTCTTCCAAAAATAAAGTAAATGCGTATATTTAGCTTCATGTAGTCAAGTAGAATTAAAAGCAACTATTTAAAGGAATGAAAACAGATTATAATGTATACCTTTCTTATATTATCTACATATTACTACTTTTTAATGTATCAAATGTCTCTTACATATGTCATCTGCTTCAAACACAAAATAAGTGGCTAGTGGGCTTAATCAGGTATTTCTTTTATACAGAAAATTTAAGGATCATTTTTCAGTAATTCACTTATTTTTATTTCTATTCAAGATTTGCATATAGAAAATAGCTAGCAGAAACTAGTAAAACGAAGGGAAAGTTTGTTTTCTTAACAAAAGTTTGTTGCACTATTTAGCTATAACAGGAGAAGCAGATGTTTCAGCTTTACAATACCATGTCTTGCAAAACTTCCTTCTAAACGACTATTCGTGCTCTACATGTTTTGGACTGTGTATGGAGAGCTCTGCTAGCAGTCATGGGAAGCGTTGCATACATTAGTAAAGCCCACATTAAGATAATTAGTGCTAAAAAAAAAAATCAACAAGCATTTTTTTTCCCTTTACAACATTGATTTACTGTGGATGAAAAATGCCAGATTTTCAGTCTTGAAGATTCATGTTCCACCACAGAGCGGGAGATGGAGCCAGCTTTTCCCAGTGTTCTGCCAATAAACTCAGATTAACCATCTCAAGGGCTAGGAGGAAGAGCCAGGCTCTATGGTTGATGAGCATATCAGTCTCTCTGATGAACCTATGAACATGGAGAGTGGGGAGCATGCTACCTAGGACAAGGAACTCAAATTCTTAATCTTTGTGGCTTTATCTACCCAAGTATTTTCTTGTCAAAATTTTTCAAAATTGCTGTGGACAACAAAAATGACCAGGAGGCAGTACTAAAGCTGCGCTGCTGCAGAGAGGACTCTGGGCAGTGGTAGCAGCTATGGGAAAATTTCTACAGTGAGAGAGGCCTTTGAAGCTCATTTTGTATCTTGTATGTGTATCTTTTAAATATCAAACTCCATTTTAATACAGACTGTTTTCATGAGGGCTCTGTAATCTTTTGCAATCCTATGATGGGTTATACACATCATTTAACTCTTTGTCTGGCAGTAACTTTACCTTCTGCAGATCCGAACAACATCAATATGAATACAGGCACATAACCAGATGTGATTGGATTATGGTAGCTTAAAAAATTACTGCCTGGTCCCTCAAGATGCTGAAGTCAGGGCAGTTTAAGACAGCAACTTTTGTTTAGTATTAAATGGCATGCTAAGGGCATGTACATGAACAACTCTGAATGCTCTGTGGATAGGTGGCTAAGCCACCTTACAGCCCCAGCCTATTCCCCTGGGGAAGGATCCACTGCAGACCTGCATCTGAAGAGGGTATGTACTACTAGAACTTTTAGTATTTACTTTAGTATTCGGGCTATCCAGGTTAGTTGAGGATGACAGTATTTTTCCTCGTGTTTGGAAGGGTTGCTTTAAAACCACTTGCTTTCAGGCAAAGTGATAATCAGCCTAAGCACTGTAAGATTTGTATAATGGAAGGCCAACACATCTTTTTTCATTCAGTCTGCAAGAGCAAACCGAGCACAGCTGTTTTACTGAAAACAACCCACTGGTATTTAAGTAGATTAACAAAATTAACTGTGAAAATCCTTCGCTATGTGAAAGCCAATAACCTGTTGGCCACAAGGAGGCAGGGCATGGATTCAGTAAACTCACAGAAATTGCTTTTGTTACAAAAAAAAAAAAAAAAAAAAAAAAGAGGAGCATTAAATTAGTTCAGTCATGAAACTCCGAACTGCTAAGCAAGATAAAAAGCACTTTTCAGCCACAGTGTGTGGTTTCAGTATTGCTGTTTTATTCCAAGAGCAGCAAATATCTTAAGATGTCAAATAGCTGATCTGGCAGCAATTTTCTGCTTCTTTTGAAGAAGCAGATCACACATGTTTCTTCTTCATCACTTCTGTGTGACATAGAGAAAAACTCTAACACTAAGCTTTGAGAGCAATAGCAGATTTACCCGCTCCGAGCAAGAAGCTGTCCCGCCGGGTTCACAAGGTGTTGCTCCCAAGCTAATAAATCCTGCTTGTGGGCAGCTTTGGGAGCTCAGCCTTTCAGTCCCTTGGCACTTCTAACCCTGGGCTAAAAGCAGGCAGGGGCAGTTAGGTGTCTGTAGTCTCTACCAAGTACCGTATGTGCAGTGTAGTACAGTGATGCCTCCCTTAACCAGAACTTTAGGACATTCCAAAGTCAGCACTAACCTGAGGTCAAACTCTTAAATGACAAAGGGGCAAAACAGGAAAACAAAGCTAGAGTATCTCCGTTTGAGAGTTAAATTGAAAATTTAACAGTGAAACAAAGCCTTCCACGGCATCAGCACATTACAGTCCGAATCTATGAGTGAACTTCTGCCCTGCAAGGGACTTTACTCCTAGCTCTGCATGCTACTGAACTAGGTAATTCCAGTCTCCCATTCTTCTGTTTCCTCATCTTTTAAGCAATTGCTTTCCTTGTTTGTGAAGCAGTATGAGGTCCATGGATAAAAAACATGCTACAAGAACTACTTATTATTAATGCAATTCAGATATGGAATGCACCAGATGGTAAAATCTCCAGGATTTTAATGAACTATTGTAACAGAACATATGTAATATGACGTTATTATAACAGGCATTTAAATGTATAGTTAGTACATACAACGTGACCTGCTCTGCTCTCAGTAACTCCACTGGAATTATTTTGGATTTATGTCAGATAATACTAGGAACACAAAATAGCCCCATATGTGCAATGTGGTAAGGTTTTCATAGCAATGCTGTCTTAACTATTGCCTGTCCTGTTTGTATTTTTTGCTGGGGGTGTTGTGTTTAGTCATCTGTTGGTGTATGCTTTCTGCATCTAATTGAGCGGGAAGTAAAAAAAAATACCCTCATGTCAAAGACTAAAACGCCTCTGATAACTGTCCCTCACCTATCACCATAAAATAGTAGTCATGAAGCAGCACGAACTTTTTGGTTTTTTTCCACTATATTCTGGAAAAAAAATGTCTTTGATGCACCTTATGCTCGACTTAATAAGCAATTCATGCTTGTGTCAGAAGAGCCAAACATTCAGTTTCAGCCTGTGAGGGCAGTAGTACCTCCTTTCTCCCACAGCATTTGAGATCTGGACAAGATGAATTACATGACTGGGCAAAGGTGAAAAAACAGGTCCACAGCTCAAGCCACCGGCATCACACACTACCGTCAGAGGCAGGTACTGACTTCAGTAAAGGAGGAGGAACATGAAGATACTATCAGTAGATTCTAGCACATCTAAACTCAAGTGAACTGACATTTAATATATGACAGGCTGGAAGCACGATATCAATTTCACATCATAAATTAGCCTTTGTGCTAGTGCCCAAAGATTTGGCTGATTACTCACTGCTTTCCCTTAGTGCTTAAGCAGTCTTTTCCAAAGTAAGACAGTTAAACCACAAAAACGTACCGTAGTGTCCACAGCCCTGACCTTCCCAGCAGGAACGTGCTTTGGAATGGGTTCTTCTACTGATATCATCACGCAGCCTTCTGCTCCAAGAGTAACAATTACGAGCTGACACCCTCTTTCTAACAGCATGCGTCCCACCTTTTCAGCATCTTCAAGGTTGCCAACTGGGATGCCCGTTAAAATTTCTGCCTGGAAAATAACCCACGCAAATGAAAATCATAATCTGACAGCATTCATTTTTGGACAACAGTTGCATTTGAAAACAGTATTTAATATCTTTTAAAACGTGTGTTGCAGGATGATCATGAAACCACTTCCTACGCTGATATTCAGCTACGTCTTGCTCTGTGTTTGAAACCAGAGTGTACTTCAGGCACAGCAGACTAATGGAGAGCAGCCTAGGCAGAGACGCAGGAGGCACGGGTTCTGTTCCAGCTTCTACGACTTGCCTGGCATGCAACCCTTAGTAAAATCACATTTCTCCCACGTCCTTCAGTTTCTTCATCTGTGAAATGGACACAATGACATAGCCTTGGCAAAAGCATTTTGTGGTCTAATGTGAAAAATGTTACGTGGTAACTCGGTCACTATTGTTGAGGGATATTTATCACTGAGTGAGAAACTTTTTACATTCTTTTTTACATTCTCAGTGTACAGCTAGAGAGAAATCGCAAGGGAAAACCTCTTCAAGGAAAAAAAATAATTGCTCAACTTCGACCACTCTGTTTACTTTGATATATATTTTTAGATAAGAATACCTAAAAGCTATCTGAAGCCTTCTTTGGGCAAAGGCCCATTACAAGATTATTATGTATTTGTGTTACGGCCATGTCCATAGTCCTCTGTCAAAACTGAGACTCTTCTGTGTTGGCTCTGTACAAACACAGATAAACTCTTCTTCTAACAGATGGTGACCTTAAGTCAACTTCTCCCAGTTGGCTCTTAAAATTAACCTCTTCTAGTTCCACTCAACTAAGAGCAAAATTTCCAAAAAATCTGCACTGAAGACTCCAGAATCAAGCATTCTTTTCGCCACTTCATACATTTTCTTGATGGCACAGAATTGTCAAATGTCATGTACTTTTTCTTTTGGCAGGGAAGAGTGCAAGAATGAAACAGGAAGAAAGGGAAGAGAAAATATAGTGCGTTTTATCTGAAACAGCCTAGCAGGCAGTACTCCTGCATAATACAGTATGCCTTCACTTGTAAGAAAAACAGGCATATTGTATTTTACTGTCTTTACTAAATCTTGTCCTGCATGCCTGAGAAGAGGGAAGTCCTACTTTACCTTGCACTACAAGGCTGCTGCTGGATCCTGAAAAATGCAGTCTGAAGTAGTAGTAACTGGGCATAGCTTCCACACTGCTAGGGCTTATTTTCAGTGGAAAACTTACTTTGGAACCTATTCACCAGCTACACTTCCTGACCTCTCCTGCACGGGCAGCTCAGCTTCTCGGGAAACTGCTGCTGAAATATTTCAAACTACCTTCCTCTGCGTTACCGAAACTTGAATTCAGTGCGCATACTTCTCAATATAACGGATTGCAAACTATAGCGACTGAACAACTGCTTCACGAAGCACAGGCCTTGCCTGCAGTGAAGAGAGGGAAGGCAGACAGCTGGGGACAGGAACTACTACAGCCATCCCAAAGTAAACCGCCCCCAGCTGTGAGTCAGCGCCCGCTGCTCGCCACTGTCATTTCCTGTGTTTCAGCCTGACCCAGGAGACAGAAGCCACCCTTAGGCTCTGAAGGGCCAGATCATGCCAACACACTCCCTAGAGTTTACAGTATCATCATAGCAGAGCGCTTACTGGTTTTAATTTTCAAACTTACAGGACCAAGCTCTGCAGTCCCTACTTAGACAAACGCACAAAGGATTTCCAGCACTGTCGATCTGATGGCTACGGGGCAGAATCTGGTGTGGCAGGCCTTAGTGGGTAAACTTGTGTGCTGCAGGGGTAAGGTGTGGTTAACACGTACACGCAATTTAAAACTACTTTTTTTAACCATACTGATCCCAGACAAGAACATAATAAACTTTAAATTATAAGAAGGCAACTAAACCTATCCAATTTTCTCTTTGGCATGTCACCATGCTGCTCAAACTTCTCTTGCAGTACAAACTATTTAAGCAAATTAAACCTATTTCAGTTTTTAAAAGGTTATAAAAGTATTCAAATAAGAAAATTTGTTTCAAAAATTATCTCACAAAACCTTTTGAACATATCTTCTTGCAAGGTCTGCAAGGAGTCAATACACCCATAATGGCTTTGGAGTAACTAAGGATAGATAATAAATAGTATTAAAAATATATATATACACTCTATTCTAGTATTCAAGCATCTAAAGAGTCTGTGTCTCTTCATGACTTTTAAGATCTCTGGAGTAGGAACTATGCATTCATGTATTCAGAACACCTAGCACATCGTCTTACAAGAATAGAAGTGGATCAGCACAAATCCTTGAACGAAACTGGCTAACTGAATTTCCAATGTACTTTGTGAGGGGCAATAATTCCGAACATTCTACCTATGTTGCAAAGTCTCCAGGATGAAAATGGATTTGGTTTTGGTAGAGAAACAGTAAATTTAATTTGGGTTTATTTACCTGATATTTACGCTTCTGTAAGCTCATGAGCAAGGTAAATGAAGTATTTAAATATAATATACTTCCTAATGAAATGCACATGCTGTATGCTTAGCATTAGCGTTGTACCCTTTTTTGCACTTGCTGTGCAAAAAATCCAAGTCAACAGGATTTTTTGCTTGGGTAGCGAAAGAATTGTTCTGGGACTGATATGTGAAAGGTTTTGCAGAAATCTTTCTTTTCACCTTTACACTGCTTATACCAATAAACAAAATTATCTTGAACAGACAGAGTGTGTATAAAGTAGATCTTCAACCGCTTTAAACCACTACAATCTAACACATCTACAGCAGGATGGTAAAACTAAAAAACACTGGAACAAGCTGGAAGAACCATAAAAGCAGCAGAAGCCAGACAGATTCTGTGCCAATAATTAGAGATTGCGGTAAATGTCAACTGATGTTAAATACTGTGGTGAGTTTTAAAGTTCCTCCCTTCAGTAGAATCTTATTTAAAAAACAAACTGTGGTACAATTGAAGGAAATAACTAATGGTTATGTAAAGAAAAAATTAAATAACAATACTAAAACGCCAATGTGGACATTTGCCATAGTACTGTACAAAAGAGAAGCAAATTAAGAATTTTATTTTTCTGCAGCTAGTCTCATAAAACTCCTCAGTTATACGGACCTATTAAAGCAAGAGGACATTCCACAAAACTGCTGTCAGAATAAACCTATGACAGATATTATATAATTAATCTACATAGAACTTTCTTGATTTTCTTTACAAAAGTGGAAGAGAAATTTAACTAAAGCTTTTAATTTAACTGATACGAAGGTTCTTGGCCTTAATCCTCACTAATCTTAGTTAACTCTCCATGTCTTATTAGATCGTGGAGTCTAGTCATAGTACATTGGCAGAAACCAGCACTGCTACAGAAAAAAAATGGTCCCGTTTTTTCCCTTCCACTCCTGTCCACATGGCCCATTCTCTTGTGCCTGCACAGCCATTTGCGTGGCCAGGAAACAAACTGGATTGCAAGGCAGATCTGTGTTAAAATTAACACCACCCCTAATCCCACACCACCCCCAAAAGCCAACCCAAAACAATTAACTTCTTTCAACAGCAGTAGTAGTTTACACTGGCTAAAAGTGAGAATGAAACTATGATATGAGCCTTTGCCAAGTGTTCCAAGCTGTGCTGCATTTGGGGCAGCTGATGGCTTACACAACTGCTCTCAGGGGGATGTTCTGGATCCTCTGCTTGGCATTTGCGAGATCGAATCTGCAGCATGGTATCTAGTTTTGGGATCTCTGGCACAAGCAAGACACTGACATATTGCAGCATACTGCAATGGAAGGCCTGATCAAGACAGTCAGGGGGCCAGAGACCAGGACGTACAGGAAGACGCTGGGAGAAGTGGGCTTGTTCAGTCTTAAGAACACAAGGCTAAGGGGAGATCTAATTGCTATGTACAGCAAATTAATGGGTGGGTATAGAAAACAAGGAGACAGAGTCTTCTTGAACGTACACAGGGATAGGGCTAGAGACAACAGGCACAAGCTGGAACATGGGAAATTCCAGTATTAGGACAAGCTTTTTCACCATGAGGGTGATGAAGCAGTGGAACAGGTGCTGAGAGGTCATGCAATTTCCATCCTTGGAGATTCAAAACTTGACTGGGCAAAACCCTGAGTAATCTGACCTAAACTGGCCATGCTTCACCAAGGTGTTGGCCCAGAGAACTCCAGAGGTCCCAACTTCTATGATCCTATAATCCTCAGCAAATATAAACTGGTGAAATAACAAGAAGTGTTAATTCTTTGGGGAGCAGTTCATCATTTGGACTGCTTTTTGTGCACCTAGCACCATAACAACTTTGCAAATGTTGCCAGGTACTGCTGGAACAGAAACAATAAATAATAGGGAAACTGTGCCAGTTTTAAGGCTAACCCATCTAAAACTACACATGATAATTTAAAGCATTTTTAATTTTAAATATTTAAACACAGTAAGCCAGTTGGCTACAAACTTGGCTTGTACTTTAGGAGATTTCTTTGAGAATGACAGAACAAGAACTCAATCTCATTAATTTTAACGCATGTGAACAGTCCCAAAGAAGTAGTGAGACAGATTTGGTGTATAAGCCACTGCAAGATCAGGCCACAAGCCAAGCTAGTTCCAGTTGTTTCAAATTATAAATTTTTTACATACATACAGGCAGAAATACTTATCGTGCTAGAATAATTAAAAACTGATTGAAATGAATTGGCTTGAAGCTATTCCCTCCCCTCCCAAAAGTAACATCTTTCATTTTAGACTAAATATGGGAAATTTCATAGTTTCCAGCAATCGATAAAATGGGGTTTAGAACAAAACTGGAATTAAAATACACTGTGAATTGCTGGCAAGTTCTATGTAATGGAGCAATAGTAGCTTTCCATTACTTAAAACAGAAAAGACAAATTCAAGAGATGTTGTGAAATTTTTAATTCTAAAGGACCTATTTTTGTTTTGACTACCAGGGATATCAATTACTTTTTCTTAAGAAAGACTATCCCTAGTATTAATCTCTCTATTAATCTCTCTAACAAGCAGTATCTTATTAAATGCCCTAATCCAAGACTCCAGATAAGAGTTTTAAAACTTGATATTTGAATCTTGTAAAAGTCAACACTGTCTCTTGATTTTGGACATACTAACAAGAATTTACATTATTAATATTTCTTCCAAAAATCATCTAGCCTCCAGTAATAGACAATAACACTTAAAAGGAAACAATAGGATAATATCTATTTTACTGTATTGTTTTTATACATCTTGCAGCTTTATTTAATAAAATTAGCAATTAACTTACATTTAGTTGCACTGTTTTCTACCATTGAAGCCCCAAAGTATTCTGTTAGCATTTAATTAAATTTTTGCTAGGCCTTTCTTATTCAGATCAGAAGTCTGATACCCATTTTACATTAGGCAGAAAGCAGTTCTCAGTTTAGCACTAAAACTACCTTGACAAACTAAATCATTTGCTGTAACCATTTGGGAGTTTTCCTTCTCCTGAAGGGCTCCTTACTATTCTATGAACGGAGAAGCAGCTGTTCTTCAAAACGTTTAGGACCAAATTGAAATCGCTGATGTGCAATACATTTTAGTTCCTAACCTGCAGGGCTCTGTAACTGCACGCACACACTAAATAAGAAAAACAACACATGAACTGTATTGACGTTGTGGTTGTGCCTAGAGCCATACTGCAGCAAGGAATCACACGAATATGTGGGAAAAAAATGGTAAGTATTCCAAAGGGCTCATCGTGTATAGGGCTGTCTCTTTTTCAACATTTATAGATGACTGAAAAGAGCAACCATTGGTTTTCACTAAGATGACATTGGATACATTTATTTTTCATTAGAAGAATTAAGGGAACGGAGAACCAGCACATTCCTGCACAAACCTCAGGGATTAGGCTGTGCTACATCTGGGAATTAACAAACTAGTCTCAACAAGTTTGATCTTTCTGGGAAAAGATAAAACTGAACTACAGGCTAAGCAAAGAAAGAACTGATAACCTTGCAAGATTTGTTCTGAGTTTTTTTGTTCATGAACCACATAAAAAGAAAGTAATGTCAGACATAAAAAAAATTTATTATTGCAACAAGCAAGAGTGAAAAGAACAGCTTGTGAAGAGCCTTCTAGACAAACTAATGGTAGATAATTCACTGATAGTATAATTTTGTTTGCTTCTCTCTAGCACATAAATCCATAAGAACAAGCTGTGCTGTTATACCAGATACTGCATGTGATTTCATTAAATCCTAGAGCATTTAATGAAGGATGGAGTGTAAAGTGTGTTGTTGTATTTGATACTCGTGTGTTTGGGACCCGAGATCTCCTGGTGTCTGAAACCATAGCTAACATTTTTAAACTTTTCTTCTGTGACAAAGGCACTGCAGATCAAAACTCCTGACCTTCATAGCAGTAGATAACAGAAACTTCTGACTCAGTAATAACTCAGCGAATCACAAGGACTACCTCCTTTTTCTCATCTTTAACAATACAAACACTTCACATAATGTATGAGATGTCTTAAGCTAAGTGGCTAGATTTCTGTTCTAGACCTTACATAATCTTCCGTTACAAACATATAATTCACATAATATCCACAAACCACAGGATTTTATAATTTAAAGGTATTTCTTGGTGAAAAAGAAAGATAAGGACATTTTGGTAAAATTGTGTGACAAATACTTGTAAATTTAAATGACTAAGAAAGCCAAACAAAGCAATAACAAAAAAAATCAGTGCAAATTTAATCTTGTCTTAGCATATACGTCTGTGTTAAAAAGAATGTTTTAGAAGCAGTTGAACTGGATAGCTCTAAAGAGTTCATCTTTAAACCTAAGATGATTTATTAACTATTTAAAAGACTTAGTAAAGATAAAGATGAAATACACATTTTTTTTACTGGTAGTACCTAAAAATTCCAAATGAAAAATAAAAGATCCCAAAAGTTGTAAGGCTGGAACATAAATAGGAATTTGTCTAGAAGGAAGTTATTTGAGACCTATAAATACCAAGTAGGAGGGGCAATCGAGCTGGAACACAATACGTCAGGAAGGCAGTTGTAAGCAGCACATTCAATAAATTTGGCCATAGAGAATAATAATTTTAAAAATCCGTAAAATAAGAACAGCCATAGTGGCTCAGAGCAAAGGTCTATCTTATCCAAATGCTCTTTTCTGACTGTGACTACTAGTAGATCCTGAGAGTAAAAAAAAAAAAAAAAAAAAAAAAGTGTAAAAAGATCTTTTCCCGGTCTATATTTTGGATCATCAAAGTCTTAGGTACTTCCTGATTTAAGAAGATGAAGGAAATGTAGATGTAGTTGGTTGAATGGATGAAGCTTAAAAAATTAGAACTATATTTAAGACTCGTAGCATTAACTTATTGCTTTTAAGTGCCATACAGAGATGTGACTGGTAACCTTTATTTAGGTATATAAACACTTCTCTGTATCAAACTTCTCAAGTGCATACTCATAGGGATTTGAAATGAAAGAAAGTCATGAAAGAAAACAGAAAACAGATGGCATATGAATATATAACAATTACTAAAAAAACAACTTTCAAACTTCATAAGAAAAACAAATGCTTCATTCTTCCTCTTTTCTCAGTAAAAACAAAGGAACAATGGCAATAGTTCATCCCTGAAAATCAATTCAGTAACAAATCAGACACACAGAGAGGATGAAATCAAACATAATTGATTACTACAGTCATGCTAACGTAATTGATTTCATTGCAAACTAGGAAAAGGTTATTGTTAAAAGCAAAGGTATTTATGTGCCATTCTTGTTCTCAGAATACACTGTAGGAGTACCACATTTGGATCTGTGCTCCCATGACATGGGTGGCAGGAATTTCCACAGGGCTATCATTTCCATGAATTCAGAAGAGATAAGCCTCCTCAACAGTAGAGAGCGTATTTCTGTGCCTCATGGGGCATACAGTGACCCCAGTTATCTTCAAATGGTAATTACTTTTTAAAAGAAAATAGCAGAAAAGAATGCAAATTGTCCCCCCAGCTCTGCAGGAAAGGTGGACGAGTGAGCAGGGATCTATTATAATTATACACCTGTATTTCTTGTTCTCCAAATAGAAGTAATTTTCTTTTCTCCGTGTGGTGGTAATAATAATACACCCTGGCTCCAGTAAGCTAAACTTCTCAAAGAATGTCTCTTTCAAGACTGTCCTCTAGCAATAAAGTATAACAAAGGGAAAACTTTAACATGTGTGTTGCAAAGAGCAATGACAGAAAAGTCAGGAAGAGACAAATAATGAAAACCAAAGTTTTGTTTCTAACATATGAAGGATAAGTTTTCACGGGGGGGGAAAAAAAATGTAACTAGTGGCATTATGAAAAAAGCAAACAACGAGTGACATTTACTAAATTGGTGGGAGAGCATGGGTGTTCTCAGCCCAAAATGCATGCCGTTGCACGGTTTAGCCAACCCAAGGGCACAGTCCAGGCATAAGTGTTTTCTGAAAGCATGAAGAAAACACCATATGGGTGTCCTGCAAGTTCCTTGAACAATAATAAATACTTTGCCTTAGCACTCTCTTCATCACGTATAACTGAGTTCTGATAGCTGTTGGACAGTGTCTGAGCCACAAATGGTACCACTGCCAGTCACACTGGAAACTTTGCCTTCCAGAGACCTGAGGAGCTGTGACATCTCCCACCTTGCTATTTTACTAGTTCCTGAATGCTCTGGAGTATCTGAACTTGGCAGACACAAACTGAAACATCTCAGGATAAAATTCAGATATCCATTTGGGTTACTTAGATCAACCCTTAAATGCTAGAAGACTCGTGAACTGAGAACTTCTGATACAGTTTGTGATGAGTTTTAACAGAAATTTCAAAAGAGGGTAATTGAGTCTTGAAGAACTTCCTCTGACAGACACTGTCATCAGACAAAAAATCCTGTAAGTAGGGCCATGCTCTTCTCTTAGCTATTCTCCCTCCTCTCCACCCAAAGGTATCATGTTCATTGCAGAAATCATGTTTGTTGGAGATAACTTTAACTATGATCACTGCATGGCTTTTATTCACTAGGTTGCTTCTCCCACATTCCTGTTTATATAAAAGAGGGTGAGGGGAAGGAATACAGCATCACAATGCTAATAAATAGGAAATTTAAACAAAGGCCTTATGAGATGAGCTTAATTTATCTCTTGTGACAAAAATGATTTCCTTTGGGAGAAATCACTCACTTGAATTAGAAAAGAGAGGGAAATGAGCAAAAAAAAAAAAAAAAAAAAAAAAAAAAAAGAAAAGTGAAAACATACAGTTGAAAGGCCAGAGAAACAGATTCACTGAACACGGATCTGACAGGAAGAGGCATATGAAGCTACTATTTACCATCAAGTGCAGCAGGCATGCATCACCTCCTGGCAAGTG